GCTCCCATACCAGGTGTCTCTGCAGGCAGCGCAGGCTGTGCCCGTACTTGAGGCAGAACTCGCACAGGTAGAGCACGGGCAGCCCCGTCAGCTCCTGCGGGTACGGAGAGAAGTACCAGGGCTTGAGGCGGTGCCGGCCCAGCTCGATGCACTCGATGTTTTTCATCCTGGTGACGATGTCGTCGTGGCTCCGGTCCGACACCAGGCTCCCGGTCATCCTGGGCGCCGAGGGGGCTCCGTCCGACGAGTCCTGCGAGTCCTGCCGGGGACAGCGCGCTCAGGGCCGGCCTTGGCCTCCGGCCGGCGGCGCTTCGGACCCTCCGCACCCGCCCTCTCCCCGTTTTCAGGGGGTTTTTGTCTGGTTTTGCTCGGTTTTCCCCCATTTTTAGGTGATTTTTGTCTGGTTTTCCTCTGTTTTTCCCCATTTTTAGGTGATTTTTGTCTGTTTTTGCTTTGTTTTTCCCCATTTTTAGGTGATTTTTGTCCATTCCTGCTTTGCTTTGCCTCCCTCCCGCGGCGCTTCAGACCCTCCGCACCCGCCTTCTCCCCATTTTTAGGTGGTTTTTGTCTGGTTTTGCTCGGTTTTCCCCCATTTTTAGGTGATTTTTGTCTGGTTTTCCTCTGTTTTTCCCCATTTTTAGGTGATTTTTGTCTGTTTTTGCTTTGTTTTTCCCCATTTTTTGGTGATTTTTGGTCATTCCTGATTTGGTTTCCCCATTTTTAGGTGATTTTTGGTCATTCCTGATTTGTTTTTCCCCATTTTTAGGTGATTTTTGTCTCTTTTTGCTTTGTTTTTCCCCGTTTCTAGGTGGTTTTTGTCCATTCCTGATTTTTTTCCCCATTTTCAGGTGATTTTTGTCTGGTTTTGCTTTGTTTTTCCCCGTTTTTAGGTGGTTTTTGTCCATTCCTGATTTTTTCCCCATTTTCAGGTGTTTTTTGTCTCTTTTTGCTCTGTTTTTCCCCATTTTTAGGTGATTTTTGTCCATTCCTGCTTTGCTTTGCCTCCCTCCCGCGGCGCTTCAGACCCTCCGCACCCGCCTTCTCCCCATTTTTAGGTGGTTTTTGTCTGGTTTTGCTCGGTTTTCCCCCATTTTTAGGTGATTTTTGTCTGGTTTTCCTCTGTTTTTCCCCATTTTTAGGTGATTTTTGGTCATTCCTGATTTGGTTTCCCCATTTTTAGGTGGTTTTTGTCTCTTTTTGCTCGGTTTTTCCCCGTTTTTAGGTGGTTTTTGGTCATTCCTGATTTGGTTTCCCCATTTTTAGGTGGTTTTTGGTCATTCTTGATTTGTTTTGCCCCATTCCCAGTGATTTTTGGCCCTTCCACATCTGCTTTGTCCCCGTTTTTAGGTGATTTTTGTCTGGTTTTGCTCTGTTTTTCCTCATTTTTGTCCCCTGGGTGTCCCCTGGGTGTCCCCGATGTCCCCTGGGTGTCCCCTGGGTGTCCCCTGGGTGTCCCCAATGTCCCCTGGGTGTCCCCTGGGTGTCCCCTGGGTGTCCCCTGGGTGTCCCCACCTCGTCTGTCCCCAGACACGCCGATTTCCTCTTCCGGCCCGGCTGAGCCGCCACCGCCCGGCGCGCTGAGCCGTTCTGGGGAGAGAGAGGGGTCAGAGCCCGGAACGCCCCAAAACCGCACCGAAACACCCCAAAATCATCCCAAAACACCTCAAAACACCCCAAAATCAGCCCAAAACACCTCAAAACACCCCAAAATTAGCCCAAAACACCCCAAAATCACCCCGAAACCGCACCAAAACACCCCAAAATCATCCCAAAACACCCCAAAATCACCCCGAAACTGCACCAAAACACCCCAAAATCAGCCCAAAACACCCCAAAATCATCCCAAAACACCCCAAAATCACCCCGAAACTGCACCAAAACACCCCAAAATAATCCCAAAACACCCCAAAATCACCCCAAAACACCCGAAAAACCACCCAGACACCCCCAAGTCCCCGGTGTGTTACTGGTCCATATTGGTCCATACTTCCCCGGTGTGTTACTGGTCCATATTGGTCCATACTGGTGTGTTACTGGTGTGTTACTGGTCCATACTGGTGTGTTACTGGTCCATACTGGTGTGTTACTGGTCCATACTGGTCCATACTGGTGTGTTACTGGTCCATTACTGGTCCATAGTGGTGTTATGGTCCATACTGGTGTTACTGGTCCATACTGGTCCATACTGGTGTGTTACTGGTTCATACTGATGTGTTACTGGTCCATACTGGTGTTACTGGTGTGTTACTGGTCCATTACTGGTCTATACTGGTGTGCTGCTGGTGTGTTACTGGTCCATACTGGTCCATACTGGTGTGTTACTGGTCCATACTGGTCCATACTGGTGTGTTACTGGTCCATACTGGTGTGTTACTGGTCCATACTGGTCCATACTGGTCCATACTGGTGTTACTGGGCTCACCTGGGGGAACACGGACGCCTGCGAGGTCTCGCTGGGGGTGGGGACGGGCGTGGCCGGTGACACCACCTCGACCTTCCGCTTCTGGGGACAGTTCCAACCAGTTCAAACCAGTTCAAACCAGTCCATCCCAGTTCATCCATCCCAGTCCATTCCAGTTCATCCCAGTCCATCCCAGTCCATCCCAGTTCATCCCAGTTCATCCCAGTCCATCCCAGTCCAGTCCATCCCAGTTCATCCCAGCTCATCCCAGTTCATCCCAGTCCATTCCAGTCCATTCCAGTCCATCCCAGTTCATCCCAGTTCATCCCAGTCCATCCCATCCCTGCTGCTGGGGGGCAATTGGGAGTGGTGGGAGGCTTTGTTGTCCCTTCCCAGTGCCCCCCAGTGCCCCCCAGTGCCCCCCCAGTGCTCCCAGTACCCCCCCAG